CGTTTGATCAAGATGTTGCTTGTTTTCAAGGGTAGACAAATTAGTTTTCCGAGAGTATGAGTGCTACATTACCAAATTACTGACTACGAAACCCTCTGAAATGATCGAAATCTTAAGGTGGCCGCTTCGATCGGTTTTCTCTGATTCTTGTTCTGACTCTGATGGGCGCATTCCCCCGATCCCGATGCCCTAAATACTGATACTGACACTAACTATATGCATACCATATTAATGGTATTGGCTACAAAGAACGCATAGACTCTTCGTTATCGGAAAGGAGAGCACGCTCCAATGGAAGATTTGAACATACATTACTTCATTCTATTACTTCACTGAAAGTGCTTTCACCTCCAAACAGCTTTTGTCTTGAAAAATACCAGATTACGCCAACCATATGCTTCGAAAGGTTGTTTCAACCTGATGCTGTCAAGCCGTTGCAGTTGACCATTTCAGATCATACCGCAGCTGGACGCCAAACCTATACAGTGTGAAGCAACCTGCAGTGAACCAACACGAAACAGTGCGAAGGCCGTATCACACGGTGCATCGGGTAAGTGTTCGATCTGGTGTTGAAATCAAACCATAGTCGTTAAGTACACTAGGCCTATTTCTAGCATAACGAGTGAGCAAACTGCTACTCATGTAGCAGCAGTAACAAACACTTTTTCGGTGCTTAATTGCCACGCCATCCGAAGGAAGCACGAGGGCTGGGATACTGCCAGATTGCCCAAGCCTAGACAGGGGAAGTCGAAAGGCAGAGGTCGGGTTCGAACCACGGACCTACCGGTCAGTTAATTCGCGCTCTAACCACTTGGGCCATTTCGGTGAGGTACTGCCAGATTGTCCAAGCCTAGACAAGATCAATCGAGGGTGGGTTTGAATCACAGACCCTTCGATCAGTAAGTTCGCATCTTAACCACTGAGTTGTCTCGACAGCATAAAACTTCATAAAGGTAGGATGACCGTTGGCGGTTAGAGTCGGCAGTTGAGTTCGTCAAGGTATTGTTGCTAGTAGGGTTAATGACCATTAATTTTGTGTTCGGTGACCCAGTCCCTTTTCATATGCATACAAATGGTGGATTGCCCATGTGCACTTTTTGACGAATAGTATGGATAAGTATGACGGCGAAGAGAACTTTGCATACATTTTATAGATGGAATACACTACTCATAAGTTGGTGAAAGCTCTTCGACAGTCCACGACTGATTACGCCCTTCCGCTTTGGGCTCAGCAGGTAGGCACACTCCGTGAACTTCATGTTCTACTTGGGTGTGAATTGCACAAAATTTGATCGTTTCCGTGAACTTCATGTTCCACTTGGGTGTGAATTGCACAAAATTTGATCAATATACGTACTAATTCGGTTTTCACAGGAGACTCACCCAGAACTGAATTGCTCGTTTATGATATGTCGAATATCGTAGCAAATGGAACAAGAGGCGGCAACACACTCGGTTGAAGAAAATCATAAACGAGAGATTCACCTGGCGAGTCTTCCGTCAAAACCGAACTGGTATGCAAATGGGTGTGTTTGTCGAATTCGCATACGTGAGAAGTCATCTGTCCGTGTACACGTGCGCTTTACGAGAAAACAACTGGATTTTATTTCGTTTATCGTTCAGCTGTAGTACCCTTTCGGTGCCTAGCTGCCATGCCACCCAAAGGAAGTACGACGGCTGGGATACTGCCAGGTCGCCCAAGCCTAGATAGGGGGAGTCGAGAGGCAGAGGTCGGGTTCGAACCAAGGACCTTCCGGTCAGCAAATTCGCACCTTAACCACTGAGCCACTTCGCCCTTATAAATTAAATAAATAAATAAATAATGTCGGGAAGGCACGAACTAGGACACATACCTAGCGGTAACACGGAGTTCATCCTTATGAGCTCAGGCCATAATCATGACTTACCTTTCCAAGATAAACGACAATCGGACTGGGCCACAATCGTCACCGAGACGGTAGATCGACGTTGTTCCGGACTGTGACAGTCGAAGCCAGTAACATTCAGGTCATATTGAACATCCCGATATGGATCAAAGTTGATTCTGGATCGGATCACGCCTAAAACAATGAATAAGACGTAAATCACTTAGGTGTAGCACCCTTTCGGCACCCTACTGTCATGCTACCCGAAGGGGGCACGAGGGCTGGGATACTGCCAGGTTGCCCAAGTCTACACAGGGGAAGTCGAGAGGCAGAGGTCGGGTTCGAACCACGGACCTTCTGGCCAGAAAATTCGCACTGAGCCACCCTGGCCCCAATGGGTGAACCAGAAATAGATGCGGTGGGCACCACTTCACTGGGTAAAACCAGACGAGTTGCGCAAAAAGCATACAAGTGTCTTCAAGTGTGCTTTCAAGACCGCCAAAATGAAGTCATATAAAGGATGAAGAGATGGATTTGGAGGTAATATGATATATGATAGGATTAATAGCAGGTTTGTACATATAAAGGAGGAATACCTGCGAAGAGCTTCAATCAGTAAAAAGGTGACAAGTGCCTTCTGTAAAGTTGCCGGGCTGAGATGAAATATTCTAAAAGAAAACCAGTGCGAAAGGGCTGTAGTTCCTGGCTTGGTATTCTGAACTCCGTTACTGAGTATTTGTGGAGAAATTCCTGGATTTAGGCAGCATAGACGACTGATTAGTATAGGTTGAAGCAAAGCAAGGTCGCTTCGGAAATTCCATGACTGATAGACAATTTGCGTTCAGAAGAATGCACTACTCATAAGGCTGCTGAAAACTCCTAAACAGCCCACAACCTGGGACTCGTCAGGTAGGCGCAGTCCCCGTATTTCCGTCAACTTTATGTTCTACTTGAAACCAAATTGCACGAAATTAGCCAAATACACTCATTTGCAAACAAATTTGGTTTTGGGATAAACTCGCCTGGAACGCAGCCTGGAAACATCCAAACCGAGAGATTCAGCTGGGTTCAAGGTGAGTCTTTCGCAAAACCAAATTTGTTTGCAAATGAGCGTAGTTCGCTAATCACTAAGTTTATTTTCTGAGCTTGAATGTCTAGCCTGAAGCAGTTCAGGCACACAGATGAAGCAGTTCAGTTCAGTTCTCAAACAAGATGATTTCACAACCATTTGAGCACTTCTCGTAGAATCGGTATTGCTCAGTGGTTAAGTCCCGAAATTAATGACCAGAAGGTCCGGGTTCGAACCCAACTCCGGCATCAACCTAGGCTTCTGCAACCTGGTCGCATCACAGCCGTCGTGCTCCGTTCAGGCGCCATGGCAGCTACGTACCGAAAAGCTGTTCCAGTTGAGCTATTATTACTATTTATTATTCTTACGATATATTGAACGGGACCGTTCCACCTCAAGTCCGGTGCGGTCCTTGTATGCACGGCTTGGGGGCCGTCACTGGGTGCTACTGGTGGGACACCAACAGTAAGACTGGGCACAAGCTGAAAAGCGTTCTCCGGAAGAGAGGCTACTTCTGATAAAAAGTGTTTGGTCTATTTCATTGGGGCGGCACATTAGGCCGCAGCTAAAAAGCGGAATTGTTGTCCGTGGAGGTGTGGACTACGTTCCGGCGATGGTCCGGGACTTGCTAACATGAAACTCGCACTGCTGGATTGCTTAGCAGTCAGTTTCTCAGTAAGCGCATGTGAAGTCGAACAGACTGTGAGCATCGTCGTAACTATCGACGATTCACCCGCTTACTTGGTAAATAATAATCGTAATGTACTACTCATAAGGTTGTTGAAAATCCATCGACAGCCCACGACCGGTTTCGCCCTTCTTGGGACTCGTCAGGTAGGCGCAGTCCCCGGATTTCCGTCAACCTTATGTTCTACTTGAAACCNAATTAGCGAATATACACTCATCTGCAAACTAATTTGGTTCTTTCGAGAGACTCACCTGGAACCCAGCTGAATCTCTCGTTTATGATGTTCTCAAGCAACTCAATGTGCTGCACCAGGCCGCCTGAGAACATCATAAACGTCATAAACGGATTCAGCTGGGTTCCAGGTGAGTCTCTCGAAAGAACCAAATTAGTTTGCAGATGAGTGTATATTCGCTAATAGTGTTAATCGTCCTACTGCAGCACCCTGTCGGTGCCTAGCTGCCATGTCACACAAAGGAGGTACGAGGGCTGGGGTGCTGCTAGGTCGCCCAAGCCTAGACAGGTGAAGTCGAGAGGCAGAGGTCGGGTTCGAACCACGGACCTTCCAGTCAGTATTTGGCGCTCTAACCACATGCCTCATGTGTGAACAACGGCAGGTGAGTGAATGGACCTAATATTCATGGCCTTTAATCTGAGAACCGCGCCAAGGTGACCACAATATTTGGTCAGTTGGAAAACTCCTGGGGCGAGAAAGCATTGCTTCAGAAAGGTTTGAAAAACAAACGATAGATCTACTGCTGGACAAGTTTTGTCTTGACACAAAAGCTCAACTGACTCGTTTGCGAGGCTTGTCGAGTTCTAAAGTAGGTAGAAAGAAAAAGAACTCTAAGTTCCGACAAGCCAAGGCAATGCCAGATGTCGGATAGAAGACTTCGTCTTTGAGTGTCAGTCAGCAATTTTACAGACTGATGGCACGAATCTAGGGTCTGGTTATACCGGCCCTGTTAATGCGAAGATTCCTGAAGAGTATTGTGCCTAATTTCTATTGATCTGAGTTGGTAAATTAGTGGTATGGCAGTGTGGTAAGGGATTGGATCTTCTGGCGGTGCCACCAGTGATGATCGCCACATGCCGCCACTTATCAGTCTGCGCTATCTACAGTCGCTCTCCATATACCCGTCAGCTCTACGCCCCCTGTACTATTCGCCGCAAAGCCCATCAGTCCCTTCAGTGTGAACCTTTTGCAGTGGGGATGTTTGGAGGGGAAGGCCCCCCCCCTGTACCGCCGCAAAGCCCATCAGTCCCTTCAGTGTGAACCTTTTGCAGTGGGGATGTTTGGAGGGGAAGACAAAAGCTTGGATGCATGTACGCCATTGAGCACGAGACTGGGCCATACTGTCAAATTCCCCGACCCTTGTTGTATTCCGTCTGGGGGTCCCGTCCAAGGAGACACCAACGACCAGCGCAGCTGAGTCTACTGGCAGAGGCTTTCATATTCGCTGCCAGGTCGCTGCTTAACCTTTTCTGGTTCGTTACCACTCTCCGCGCTGTTATGCGAAAAGAACTCTACAAGACATGATTGGATAACGTTGTCAATTGTTGTCCGTATGCAATAGTTTAAGAGCTAATCTAAGTTTAGTATCCTACTCGGTACCATAAGATAGCTTGATGTATAGCAACGCCGAACATTTAACCTAAACAAAAGTACGATGGGAGAGTGTTTCCAAGACCAGAGTAATACAGACCAAGAGCGAATTGTATCATCACCATCATCATCGACAGCATGACATCAGTGTTCAACACCGATGCTTCACTGCCGTACGTGGGCTGGGATACTGCCCGGGCACCCACACCTGGACAGGAGGACGATTAGGGTCCTCAACCAAAGCCTTTGGCTCAAAAGCCTAACCTCAAGACAGCGAGGAAATGCAAATGCATTGCCATTTCCACGGGACAGGTTGCCACATGCTACAACCCCCAACCCGGCAACCAGGAGGGTCAGGAGACTGTGTTCGTCAGACCTCTAGCCATTGACCAACCTGGCATGAGAGACTCTGTGAGTGTCGCTCAATGGGCCGATGAGGTGCGCCAACCGTCACACCACGGTAAGGTCCAGTCTCTTTGTGACGGAGCGAATTGTTTAACCTCCTAGTCTTCGCCACAACTAGAGTATCACCAGTCAACGCATAAAGTAGACAAGCCCACCAAGTGTTCGATTTCGGCTCTAGTAACTGACTGTGAGGCCAGACACAGTGACAAAAATCTTGTTACGTAGTGAGCATAAATGATAGGGCGGTTTATTGACAGAAAGATACATCCCAATGCGGCTAACACTCCGACTACCGCAAACTTTTTCTGACAGTAGTGGAGAGGGTAACGCAGTCAACCAAAAATGATTTGCGCCCTATTTACAATAGTCGGTGGGATTGGGCGAAACACGTATGGTCACAACTACGGCTATTGAAAGTATCCAAGCAATCGCCATGGCAACAATCGATTGAGGAAAAAAATACGATTGACTTAAGTACTGCAAACTACTGTTGACCTTGAGAGTTTCCGGCCTACCAGCTAGGGATAGCACAAGACATAAACGACGATAAGCAGTTGACAGCCCAGTTGTGCTATTGCGAGCAGCGCAGTGGCTAACTGTCCACTACTCATTTTGGACGACTGAATCTAGTTTAGTTTTTCCGGAAAACAGCGTGGTAGAGTCAAACAAATCACGCCGAAAATTAGCCAGAAGTTTGCCACCAGTTGGACAACTGATGAAACGGGGACGAAGTAAACCGCGTTTCAGTCAGTTTCCTATAATAATAACAGTATAACAGTATGGTATAGTAATAGTATAAATAAAATAATATAATAATATAATATAATATGATATCTAATCTGACACTTTTTTGTCCAGTCTAGCTGCAAACTAGACAGTCTGATTCATGTTTCCTAATACTTGACACACTATCATTGACGTCCGAAAAGTGGAAAAGATCCAGATTGGCCAAGATGGACATCTCTCATTGGCGCGCGAAATGGTAATCCCTGTGGGTTGATACATTTTACTTGTAACATTAGTTTGATACCAGATGTGCCACCTCTTTTGTAATCTGACCACACGGTTTCTTTGTTCCGGACAACTCATGGGGCCTGTCGTGTCGTCGAATGGGCCAGAGGAATCAGCACCATCGTCGGTTACTTTTGGCTACTCACGAGTAGCTTGGTTACTCGCTTACTTATCGCAACCTTTCCGCCATTCATTTTCCCATTTAGTGTGGTAGTACTGTGAGGTATCTCCAACGAACAGGCACTCGCTGCCCGCTTATTTTTGGTACAAACACAGGTTTTACCCTACTGGCAAAACGCGCCAAGAATCCGAAAATCAGACGCTGAGATCAGCCAGCCTTTCAGCGGTTGGTCTCGCGCAGAGTTCATAGGGTAAAATTAGTCATAAATACAGGAGGCCCAAACTTCTACTTGATTCCA